TTATAATTTATCCCTTAAAAATTACAAAAAAAAAGTAATTATAATTTATCCCTTAAAAAAAAGTAAGCATATTTGCCCAACCTACGGATCGGCCCGCGGGGCCTACAACCCACATGGGGCAGGTTAGGGTTACGTTACTTGAATCCTAGCCCGTGCTGACACGTCCGCTTTGACAGTACTAGTAAAAGAGCTTGCAATGTTGAAAATTTTAACAAAAATGACATTTTAAGTGACTATTTTATGGTACAAATATCAGTGTCGTGAGCTTCTGATTTGGGTAGGGGTCAAAGTAGATTTAGGTTCTACTAAGTGAGGCGATAAAATTGATATATTGTACGCTCAAAATGGATAATGGGTGAATGAGATATTAATACTCAAAATATACCTATTTGAGTTGGAAAAATGTTATGGAAGGCTTGGAATAAGCATTTGCCCCACATTGATAAAGGGAAGTCGGTTTGCACTAGTATAAACACAACTTCTCTTTTTTTTTTTTTTTTTTTTTTTTTTTTTTTTTTTTTTTTTTTTTACAGAAGCTTGAATTGAATGGTATAGGATCAGAGACTCTCTCTCGTGCAAATCAAATCCTAAAATGAAGCTTGACTCGTGTGCACTCGCGACCTGCGTACACAATTTGTTTTGTGAACTCTCCTAAATTCTCATGTTTTATACCTTTTTTCTGTTTGTCGTGACTTAATAGTTTGAGTGCTTAACTATTAGTCGAAAAAAGTCATTTTATCTTGAAAAAATATGAGTTACAACATTCATAGAACATAAGAGAAAGAAGGAATAAAGTTTTAAGAAAAGTGTGTATCACACAGTATTATAGTGACCTTTCATATATTTGCTTATATGTTTGAAATTATATCCAACATGCAATGCACGCATCAATACACAATATGCTTTTAACTCCTGAATCACCCCACAGTGATTTGAACTCTTTTAATTTAGTCTTCATATAAACATTCTCTAGCTTCACAAACATTTGACTTGGCTATATAATATATGTGTGGGCAATTTATATCATGGACTACGTCCACATAGCATTGTAGATTTTAAATAAAAACGATTAGGTACATAATTTATACTTGTAAGGTATATAATTTCATAACATAAAACACAAAAATTACAACACAAGACACATACACAAGTTATATATTTACTTATTTCTCAAATCCAATTTAGGTACAAAATTTGTGTTCATAGGCACAAAATTTCATAACATACCAGCCACAGAAATTCATAACATAAGACACAACTACAATTTGTTTTAGGTATAGAATTCATATCCTTAAAGTGCATAATTTTATAATACAAGACACAATAACTCACACATTATAAAACACATACACATGCACCAAAGCCTATAATGCACTGTGAACCCTGGTCCATAGTATAAGAATTTATGTGTGTGTCAGGTAATCCTAACATAAACTAACAAGTATTTGGAAAAATCACTTTATAAACAATTGAGAAATAAATAAAAAAAATAATAATTGAGAGACAAAAAGTGTTACTTTAAAAAAATATTTTTTGGGCATATTGTTTTTTCTGGTACGACACAAACAATTCTCTTGTTGGTAAAAATTAGTTAAATATGAATAATAACGTAGATGAGTAGAGGGTTACACACGCAGAAATAGAAAAATATAATGGAATGGGATTTGAAGGAGTCCAAAAAGATGGCTCAGCAATTAATGAATTAATCAATCGTTTCAACAGGCAAGAAATTGGGCTTGAGGAATTGGTCGTTGACTTGCTCCACATGCCAACAATAATGCATATACAAGGTTTGTTGGTTTGGTTCCCACTTGGCGATGACTGTTGGATTTAGTGGGATTTAGTGGGATTTAAATCTTAAACATTAGGATTTATTTGGTTCGCATATCTGAAACGGAATTGTAATGAGAATCAAATACTTGGTAATGGTAAAGAGTTTTGGTGAAAGTATTTTTCATGTTTGGTAGTAGGGTTGAATTGAAATGATTACTAATATTGCTGTTTGGTTATGTATGATCCTATGATGAGAATAAATGTTTTAAAAATACAAGAACAAAAAATTAAGGCAATTTATTCTAATATAAAGACATTCAAAGCACCAAATATGAAAAAAAAAAATTTAAAAAATTAAGGGGTGAATATAATATTTTATTCTTAAAAGTACTAATTAGGATGGGAATAATGGAATGAAACGGAAGAATGAAAAAAAAAAATAATCTAAAAGTACTAATCTAAACTTAAAAATCAAATTACAAATTAGGAGGGGAATAATGGAATGAAACTCTTACAGGGCGTTTGGTTGGAGGGATTTTAAATTCCCTTCCCACTTAATTCCCACCTAATTCCAAAGGCCATTAAATTCCGTAGTTTGGTTGGAGGGAATTGCAATTCCCCCATTTTCATGGAATTAAAATCCCATGTCCCCCCATGGGATTTTAATTCCTGGGAAAAAAAGATAGTGATGAGTCAAAATTACCCATTCCTTTTTTAACCTAAAATTAATGTCTAACAACAATAATGGACATTTTTTACTTTATACTACTTATTCCCTTTCAATTCCCATGTATACCAAACATTGGAATTGAAATTCCCAGTAATTCTATTCCTGTCAACCAAACACTGGAATCTAAATTCCCACTTTATTCCCAGTAATTCAACCCCCATGGAATTGCAATTCCTTTCCCACATAATTCCCACCCTCCAACCAAACGCCCTGTTATTTTATTAGGGAATGAGTTTTCTAATTAAGGGGTGAATATAATATTTTAAAATTTGGTATGTATATCCGAATATAAATTTGGTTCGAATATCGGATGTTAAAAATTTATCTATACCCGAATCGAAATCCAAACTAATCAAAATTTTACTATAAATATAATAATATAAATTATATATTTAATTTTAAATGTATTTCATAATTAATAATATATTAATTTACAAAAGTCTATTAATTAGTATTTTGTCTTATTTTTAATTTGATAGTATATGGAAAAATATAAAAACAAAAAATAAAATTGTTAAAAAAATTCAAAATTGAAAAAAAAATAAATTTTGGGTATATCCTAACAAACTCAAAATAAAACCGAAATAATTTCACCTGAACTATATATCTGAATTAAATTGGTTCGGATATCGGGTGTAAAAAAATCACTCGAAACTTTTCGATATACGAAATAAAATTCGGGTGTCACCCGAACCGAATCGACGGCTACCCCTAATTTTGATTAAAATATAGATACTTACCAATAACTTTTATATAAAGTATAATTGCATGTGTTATGTAGGGCTATTAACGAACCAAACATGAATGAATAGAGGTTATTTGTATTCGTTTGTTAAGATTTTTAGAATGTTCGTGTTTATTTGTTAAGATTTTTGAAAATTATGTTTATGTTCGTTTATTAAGTGTTAGTGTTTGTTAATATTCACAAACATGTTAATTTATGTTCATGAACAATAACTAACCAAACAACCTAATAACGACTATATATATAAATAATACAAATAAGCCAACAAGTCCAAAAAAACACAAAAGTGTTATGGTTGATTACGTTGAGTATGGGAGAAATATTGACTGTATTTATGCAATCTAAATGACATATATAATTAAGGTTACACTTGTGTGAGATCATTTTATGAATTTTTATTTGTAAGACAAGTCGAGTCAATATGAAAATGTAATGCTTATATTGAAAAATATAATACTCCATGCTAATTAAGAATACAATGTTTGTTATTAGAAAAACACAAACTTATGTGAGACCGTCTCATTGGTCTCAATCCGTGAGATGGGTCGGACCTTCGATTAATGAGGTCAAAGATCCAAACCATTAATCTAAGACCTTTCACAAATTGCATTTGTTATATCATGGACCGCGGTCAAAACGACGCCGTTTCTTTAAGTAATTGACACTACAGTGTATTTAAACCGACACTGCCCTCACGTATTTATTTTTATATTATCAAATTAAACTGTAGTTATATCAAAATATACTGTAGTTGTGGTGAAATGAAACTGCAGTGTATATAAAATGAAATTGAATAACATTTCACATATTTGAGTGTATATTGTACAACGAAGCTGTAATTATATCAAAATGATCATGTAGTTGTGTTTTAATAAAACTATAATGTATATAAAATAAAATTAAATAACATTTTCACATATTTGAGTCTATAAATATCGAATGAAACTGTAGTTATATCGAAATGAAATTATAGTTGTGTTGAACTGAAACTGCAGTGTATATAAAATGAAATTGAATAACAGAGTTTCTTTTTACGGATGGGTGCGGAACGAATGCTGTTTCTTTTCATTAAACAAAACAATGTCATTTTGATGCGCGGTGCATAATCGATTATGCACCGCGATGCACGACATAATTTGCGATAATATTGAGACCCGCACTCAAATGTTACCCTAAGAAAACAATCGTTATGCTGTGGAATCGTGTCCACCTTGCAAGGTGGACACAGTTCTATGTTCATAATTACTGAATTATATGTTCATAATTATAAAACTATATACTCATAATTTTTGAACTTCATATTCATAATTATTGAATCCTATATTCACAATTACAGAACTTTATGCTTATAATTACTGAACTATATGTTCATAATTATAAAGCTATATATTCATAATTTTTTAACTTCATATTCACAAATTATTGAATCTCTATATTTATAATTACAGAAATATATATTCATAATTATGTTCACAACTCTATATTTTCAAAAAAAAAAAAAAATGTTCACAACTCTATGTTCATAATTATAAAATTATATGTTTATAATTTTTGAACTATATAATTGTAATTATAAATAATTTTGGACACGGTTCATAATTTGTCTTAAGAAAAAATGTAATAATTTGTTTTAAGAAAAAATGTAATATTTTGATGTGTAATATCTTAGGGAGTTATTATATGTTAAATTCTTAATCTTATGGCGTCATTGTAAAACGTTAAAGAAAAAAATATGGAGAAAAAAAAAAAAAAAGATTTGCCTTGGTCGACGGTTCCTATGGTGAAAAGTTGAAACGGCATTTGTATGTTTGTTACTGCCCTTTCCTTGCTGAACGGGACCAGTAAAACCGAAGCTGTAATTACTGCTCCATTCTTATCTTTTTTACTGAGCTTCCTCTTCCTCGCTATAGCCTATAGTAGCAGTAATTAGCTTCTTATCTTCCCCCGTTGTTTATTATTATTATCTTCTATAAATTAGATTAAATACTCCGTAATGGTTTATGCCCGTATGTTTCTTCAATCTTCTTCGCCGGCGTTCTGATCTCTCTCTCTCTTTCTCTCAATCTTCATAATAATCCGATCATCTGGTCTGAGTGACTGAATTCGCAGTATTTGATTGATTCGAGAAGAATTAGGAATTTAGATAAATAATAGGGGGGGAAGACAGTGAAATGATGTTACCGATGGTTGATTGCCGGGGATTGATCGAATTCTGCAGGGCTTTTGAGCAGCACAAGAACAGGTCCCGATTCCAATCCAGCAAGAACAAACAATCCCAGGATAAGAATCCCTTCTGCTCCGATCACTCTCCCATGGCCGCTCTTGATTTGGTGTTACTCATCCTGGTTCTCGGATCTCTAGGTTTTCTCCTAATCCCCTATTTCACTTCGGTGTTCGCCGAGGCTTTTCCGATTCTCTGCGAAATCGTCGTGGAATGCGTCAACGACACCCCGGTGGAGTATTTTGTTGGCCTTGTGGCGGCGCTCTTAGGAGTTCTCGTCGTGATCGTCGCGTGGGAGATCCTCGATTTGCGGTCTAGGAAGTGCGGGAATCCCAAGTGTCAGGGCTTGAGGAAAGCGGTGGAGTTTGATATCCAGCTCGAGTCGGAGGAGTGCCTCAAGTATTTGCCCCCGGACGCGACCTTCAACGGGAACGCCTTCTATAATTACGGCGTGAAGCCGTTGGAACTGGGGCAGGATCGCAAGGAGCTGGAGGCGGAGCTGAAGAGGATGGCACCGCCCAACGGCCGCACCGTTCTCATCTTCCGGGCACCCTGCGGCTGCCCTGCAGGTAGATTGGAGGTTTGGGGGAATAAGAAAATTCGTAGAGTTAAGAAATGAATTTTATACGGAGGGAGGGAGTTCGTAGAGTTATAGCTCTTAGTTTGTTATTGTTCCAGCAGGATCCATCCTTATACAATGATGAATAAAGTAGGAGATATCATCAAATCAGTTTCGTGCAATACAAATAAGTATTTTGACGATGTAGCAAAACAATACATAACACTTGATTTTGTATATTATACTAATTCTTCTTTATGGGCTTTATATATATTTTTTCTTCTTACACCTAGTGTTTGGTGAGATCATTTTATTCTTGTTCTGTTAATGTCACTGTTCATGCTGTTATAAACCCAAGGGCATCTGTCAGAAGTATGCTTTTATTGTTTGAGACCGAATCTCCTTTCCAAGACTTCACAGAGGGAAGAGTTGATGTTCCTAATCCATGTGTGTGTTTTTTTCCCCTTCTCTCACTACATTAACCCATATTTCCTGTTTAGATTTGTGTTGCACCAAACAATTGATAAAGGTCACCTAGTTGTAGTGACTGTGTCTGAGTTCGTTCAATACATCGAGTTAAAACGAACTTCAGAGGTGTATTGTTAACCCGAGCATCACTTTTGGTTATTGTGGTAACATTCTTGTGTTACAACTGTGATTAAAGATGGGAAAGGAACTGAAAAGAAAGAAATCTAATTGAATGAGATTACTGTGATCCTACTGAAGTTTGTGGTAATGTCCTAGTCTTCCTGGGATTTCCTTTTCCATTTACTTTTCTTGTTCATGCAAGTGTTATTAGCCCTTAGATTGTGAGCCATATCTTTGCTCCAATAGGCTGATCTTGGCTTGTTGGTAAGCTGATTCATGTTATGTATCCAAAGTTCTTTTAATTCATACGTCATAACATTCTTGTCTCCCCTATTTTCTGTCTCTCTTTCAGTGAAATATGCCTACTGATCATTTACCAGCTACCTACTAATAGTTTGATACAAGTTGTAATTTTTCTTTTCCAATGCGAATTGTTTTTATCATTAGCAGTTACTGGAGCATTTAATGTTCAAGATTGAAGACTGCTTCAAGCAATCAATTTCGCATTGGACTTCCACGGGCTCTGGATAGAGAAATGTGTCTTCTGTTGAAATCTAATTGGAAATGCTTTCAATATTCAAGATTGAAGACTGCTTCAAGCAATTAATTTCACATTTGACTTCCACGGGCTCTGGATAGAGAAATATGTTTTCTGTTGAAATCTTATTGGAAAAGCATCTTTAGATCCTGCCTTTCCTTTACTGCAAGAATTAACATCTGAAATGCTCATTCAGAGAGGAGAAGGTGGGACTTGGGAGATAGTAAATGACTAAAAATCAAAATAAAAATGAGCTTTCTGTTATCTTTTGATGGATACTCCTTTTAATCCGACTCAGCAAAGTATTTTGTGCTAAAACTGTCTATACTGTTCTTTAACCATGGTATCTTAAGATGGCGGTGGCAGATGATATGAAGGTTATTTCTGTTCCCATTATATTATATGTAATTATATCTATATTAATATGAAGGGTGGCCTCGTTCGTGATGCTACCGGGGGTCTGGTTTGCGGTTTTACTACTAAGATTGGGAAGACTAATAGCTTCATGGCAGAACTGTGGGGCCTAAGGGAGGGTCTATGGTTATGTCTTGAGAAGGGTCTTCACCGGGTTATCGTGGAGATGGATTCTAAAGTGGTCATTGACCTTCTAAGGGGAAGCAAGGAAATCAACAATTCCTTCTGCATCTTGCTACGGGATTGCTTGGATTTGGCTATCAAGTTTACCAGAATTTCCTTCATCCACACTTTTAGAGAAGGAAATTATTGCGTGGACTTCCTGGCTAATCTTGCACACGAGAAGGACTGGGGCACCTGGGTGTTCACGGATGCAATGGACGGGCTAACTGATCTTTTGGCCCGCGACGCGGGAGGAGCTCTCAACCGAAGAATTAGATAACTTTGAGGCGTAGCCTCTCTTTCTTCACCAAAAAAAAAAAGGTTTTGACACATTACTTACATCAACTACTATGCATATATGTTTTGGCCATTGATTTTGATAGCAGGTTACATTACTCTTCCTGCTCTTTGGCTGGCATATTCAGATCAAATGATTTCTCATTTGAAGCATTCATTGCCTTTAAGTCTTTATAGCTAGGAAAGTTACTCATGTTAATTTTATTATCTACCGCTACCATATTCTGAGCTTCTATTTGAGCTGCAGAAGTTGGTGAGGCATAAACTTGATAGCACTTTCCTCTTTCGTGTGTTTCATCTGCAGAAAAGCCGCTGCTAGTGCTTCCTTTTTCCATTTGAAGGCTGATTTTTAAAGGTGCAGCATCAAACCTTTTCTTTTCTGGTATTATTAATTCCCTGTCATCTGTCCTTGCTGAAGTGTATGGAAACTTCCCTTTCTCTTTATGTGCTTCTAAACATCTTTTGTATGACGGCTTAAGAAAATTCTTCCTCTCTATCTCCAGTGTTGAATATGTTGTGCCAACATAATCAGGCTCGATATAATTTGTGCTTTCCATTGGAGAACTCAATGGATCAGAATTCAATATGCTTATATGGTCTTTCTGTGCCATTTTTCTTTGCTCATCAAGCTGCTCTGTGGTTAATTCCATTTCTTCCACCTGTGGATATTGTCTCTTTTCATTGTTGCTGGTTTGCTTCAGTGTGCCGTGGTATTCTCTCTCAATATATTGCACTTGCTGTTGCGCCCTCTCAAACTGCTGTGGAATAATTAAATGCTAATTCTGACATTTTCAAAGAACTTATACTGCCAGAGAAATGGATGTAAGAAGTTCCTTTGACACATAAACTGTATGCTCATATTTTTCAGTTTGGATTTTGACAATTGTAAGAAGCATGTACTATGTAGTCATGTACTACAGGATCTAAGCCTGTATTACTAAAATGAGAATAACATTTATAATGGCCTTGGAACACATAGTACCTGTCATTGGATAACATATATTCCAGTTTTATAATATGATCTTTTCAGTACTTGATGCATCAATCCAAAATAAAATTTTAAAGAATTAGCCAAAAGTAGTTGAACTCAATGTAATTAGATTTGTGTGCTTGCTTATAATTTTTTCTCCCTCCCAGTTGTAGAGAAAAGGAATATGTTGTATAAACTTGCAACATACCTCAAGCTTTGTCTGTGAAGTTCTCTGTCTTTCAGTTGATATCTCTGGTACATCACTCACCTGTATACTTCTTGAGGCAAAATTGACAGTTAAGCATAAAGTGTGCAACCAATAATAAACAAACATGCAAAAAAGAAAAACTTAAACTTCTGTCTTCTTACCCCATTGTATGCAATCCAGGTGTTATGCTGTACTTGTGTTCTTGATGTCGTTGAAATACTGTTGCTCTTATTGCTGTTTCCATAGTTCTAAAATTTAGTATTATATTATAAAGGGCTTTATAGGTGCTGTGCTCTTCATGCTTACTGTTTAGCAATTTGAAAAGTTCACCAGAAAATTCGTGGAAACACTTCTTACTCTTTCTTGTGTTCGTATTTGCTTGCTTAGAACCATTGAGTCTGTACTTCTGAAATCAGTAAGTGAACTTTTAGTTTATTTATTAATTTTTTTGTGTGTGTAAAGCTGAGATCCCTAAATGGCTTGAGAGAACTTTCATAAGTACCTGAAGGTGGCTCTTTATATGGTCTGTTGTGATTTGCTCAATGTCCATCAGCCTCATTATATTTTTTGGAGTTGCTTCTGATCATTAATTATTCTTTTATCAGCTGTCAGAAGAGTATGACTATACTTATTTCATATTCAAGACATGCACAATGTAAGAGTTTGTACTCACTGTATATTCCTCCAAGTTGATTCACTGCATCAACAAAGCGCCCGTGAACCTGTACTGTCCATTTAAACCTGGGTTTCCGAACACCTGACAATGACTGCTTAACTTCTTGGCCATTCTTTTCATTCTTGGTTTCATTTCTTCCTGGAGTGCTCATCATACTGGAGGTAGTGAATTTAATTCTTATCGACGATGAGCGTAGCACAATATCAAAGGTTTTCCTGCAATAAAAAATATAACGGTAAAAAACTGAGGATGATATTATGAATTTCTGCGAGATATTAAACCTTGTACCTGACTTGCAAAGTGAAATTGTGGAGCTGCTTTACTGCTGCTTATGCATGTTGTATATGCAGCCTTTGGATCTTTTTATTCCATCCATTTATTTCCACTATTGGTTCATCCCATTTAACCTCTTCAGTTCCCATTTTTATAAAGTGATTCTAAGAAGGGCCTCTTAGTCTCAGAGAATAGACTCCTTTTCCTTGTGGACCCCATCTGAAACTTTATCTTACTGAATTGATGAATCTTGACTTGGACAAAATACCCAATTGTTGCTATGCTAATATTCTTAAACTTTATTACCTATATTTGGTGCCTTAACTTTTTGGATTGTCTCTGATATCAAATATGTTATTTGACTGCTACCATATTTACCTTTATGTATTTCTCTTTTTACATCTGGGCATGCAAATCCTTGATGAAGCTTTGTATTTGAAGAAGGGGGGACGCCGGACGGGAGTTTAATGTTAAGTAATATCTTCATATCAGTTTTATGAACACAAATAGAAGAAATACTTCCAAATTGTGGGTAGCTGTATAAACTGTGCCATTGCCACATCTATGGATAATTAGATATTACTTGATCTAGAAACACAGTTGACAAGTTTCAACATCTTGATTAGATGAAGCAGCATGAAGCTGGTGCTATTTTGATTCTGTACTATGTTTCTGACAAAAGGGCTGCTATTCTGTGAATTGTAGCTTGACTGCTTTTATACATTATTATCAGATGAGTTCTACTATACAAACTCCCAATTTCTACTCCCTTGTTTGTACTCCCTGAGGTGGCAAATAAAGATTGGTTAATTTTCATCATGTGGGTGGTCCACAGGAAAATGTCTATATCAAGAACATGTGAGAGGAAGTAAAATTTGGGAGTATAAAATGGGAGTACACTAAGTATTTTCCTTATCAGATTATATTTTTCCTTTATATGATACTTTACTAACTCTTTGGAGAGAAGCATGGTATTTAATATCTGTGTCTTTAGAACCTTTACAGCTTAGGGTTTAGCTTATGCCTTTTAATCACCATCTGCAGCTGCTCCACCATCCAACAGGAAGAACTGGTTAAGGGATGCCAAGTCAAATGTGTCAGGCTATATGCTAGAGGAACGAACTCTCCATTAGAAGAGGTCAAGGTCAAACAGTATCCAAACACCTATCTGGTTCAGATGGAAGCAGTGAACACCAAGGAGGAAGTGGCATGGTACCCTGGGAAAGCCCATGGCCTACGTCTACGAGGCTAAGACCAAGAAGAATGGCTCTCACTACTGCTGCATCTACAACAGTGGCATCATCAGAGCTAAGTTTCAAATCCAACTTCCCACCCAAATCCATAGGAAACAAGGTTAGAGTTTTCATGTACCCAAAACATCTAAAGCTAGAATGTTGAAGATGCATGATGTGAGTTATTGATTACTTTCAAAGATCACTAGTGATTTATGCAACTGCATCTTTACTAAATAGGTGAGTTATATTTGTGTCATGTTTTAATTATATATTCCTTTTGTCCTTTCAATCTTGTTTTAGTAATACCTAAAAAAAAAAAATACCTTTACAGCTTTTAGGCATTGTAGGATGAGAAACCAAATGCTCTTGTTATTTCACGCTCTTTCCTGCAAGTCTTGTCACTTTATAAATCTTGACAATCTTAACTGAAATGATTGCTCTTTCAAATTGTCAACTAATTGATGCTGCAGCTTTAAATTTATAAATATTGGCTTTTTAGCAACTTGATGAGAAACCATGCAAATATGTTTTTCATTACTTGGCCTGTATGTAGGTCTTGTCGCATTAATCTCGAATGTTAATTGAGATAATAGCACTTCCAAATATGATCTGCAACCAATTGTTGAGCTTTGCTTTGCTACTTTTAGAAGAATTGACACCATAGTTCGTTCTATTTAATAATGTTTATTTATCCAGTATCTTTTTTTCACCCTTTCAAAGCTTTTATGGACCTTTTCCATTTTTCAGATGCCTCAATTAAAGTGCATGCACCCAGCCCCAGTGCCACTTTATTCAATATTACTGGTTGCTATGGTGACAGCAGATTCATTTTTCACTTCTGAGGTATGAGGTATGACACAGAAAATACTAGTTGAAACCTTTATCTAAAAGTGGGAGATCTTCATTCTTGCCCTAAACAATTCTTTGAGCCCCTGGCCCCTCTCTCTCCTCTCTTTGTGGACTTGGGTATCATGTAAAGTTAGTAGAAAGAAGTGGGGTAGAGAATAACTTGGCTACTTTCTAAGAAGTAAACCTTGGTTCAAATCTCATTAACTCCATTCGACAACATGTAAAAATTAAGGATGGCAGTGAGGCGGGTTTGGATCAGGGTACCTACATCCACCACCTGACTCACCATATGGATATAATTAACAAAATTATTTATAATATTTTAAAATTTGAATAATTCTATATTCTCAAATTGTGTTAATAATAATAAAATTATACTATATAAAATTTTCAATTGTATAGACAAAACTTTATTATTTCTAAATGTTTTCATTATTTCATATGTTGGCATGTTGCTATATTTTAATATCTATCTACTATCTATCTACTATACTAATAAGAGCCAAAGAAAGTTAGGCCTATAATGGGTAGAAAAAATATGGATCTACAGTATAGAAATTATGGATCTACAACATAGAAATTATGAATCTACAGTATAGAAATTATGGATATGGAATTGTTGCCCACCTTGCAAGGTGGGCACGTGCTCACAGCATAATTTGCCGGATAGTTATGCCATGGACCCAGGTCTATCTTGCAATGTGGACCCAGGTCCAAAACCATGTAGTTTGCGCGTGTTAAAATAACGGTGCCATTAGTGGCACCATTTCCACAGCTAATGATTTTTTTTTTTCTTAAAAAAAGTTATTGAAAACAACTCAGCGAGTGAATATTTAGTTCTGTAATTGTGAATATAGAGTTCTTTAATTGTGAATATAGAGTTCTGTAATTGTGAATATATAGAGTTCAAAAATTGTGAATATAGAGTTCTGCAATTGTGAATATTGAGTTCTGGAATTTTGTATATTGAGATCTAAAATTGTAAATATTTAGTTCAAAATTGTGATGATCTTTATACAATCAAATGCAAACGCAACTATAATTATTTTAAGCAATATGATCTATTATTTAGAAAAACCTCCTCTCTCTTTGCAGGCATATATTCAGCTATCAACTATGGAAACAATCTGATTCATTCCCATTTCCCAGAGCTCCAATAATTACTTAACTTTTCCAGTAAAGACAAGAAAGAAAACGAAAGAAGATCCCAGAGACCCAGAGGCATCTAATATATAGTTACATTATTTTGAATCTGATAAAACATGCAACTGCAATTATATTATTATTATTATTGGGTATTATTTATCAATTTGCTACGGAGTATATCTTTCTTCCCCTAAGAATCTGACTATCTGAGGCTGTTGATTTCTATGACTAGTGTTGGAGGTATATTTTGCAGGAACATCGATCAGCTTGACGTGTTGTGTGTATACTGATCGAATTTTGTTTGCTTGCAGAATATAATGCAGACTTGTGTGGATTCCACTTCTCATCTTGAGGGGTGGGAATAGGCCACACGCCTATCATGAGGCTTATGATTTAGTGTGTTTGGCTGACAGTTTAGCACTCAGGTATGGGTATAAAAGTGATTGTTATTGTTTGGTTGACTGGTTTTTAAAATACTACTATGAGTTTGGAATACTCCATTAATGAAAAAACTCATTCTCTTATTTTATAAGGGTTTCATCTCATTATTCATCTTTAGCCTAATCATTCCCATTCCACCCTACTACCAAACATGCAAAATACTTTCACCAAAACGCATTACCATTACCAAGTATATATTTGATACCCATTCTAATTCCAATTCCCACGTGCAAACCAAACACACCCGGCCCTAGTGTAGTTTGGGTTTAGCTTATTTAGTAACCGTTATATAATGAACCATGGTTTATAGAACGCTGTGTAGATCATGATCCAATAAATTGTCAAATGAAATTGAGTAGAATTAAAATAAAACTAGTGTGTGGAAAATAAAATTAAAAAAACAGAGTTCATGCAATAACATATAATGTCAAGTCTAGTTTGAGTTTAGATTGACCTAGCCTATTTACTAAGAGGTTAAGTCTAAACTTATTTTAGAACATATTTAACTAAAGGGAAAATTGCATCTTTAGTCTCTGAGTTATAACCAAGTTCCGATTCAGTCCCTAAGTTATAGCAGTATCTGAGTTTAGTCCCTCAGTCATGAGCAAAGTGGCGAGTTTGGTCCCTAGCATTAATATTTGCAACTAACAGAAAACTTAAAAACAATTTGATAATAGAGGGGTAAAATATGAATTTCAAATTATAATCTTCTTCTTATGTTGAAACGCATTGCGCAACAGTCATTATTTTCTTCTGATACCTACAATCGAAGGTCTTTTTCTTTCCCAAGCTCTGAAATCTCAAATTCATCCACTTCCAAGTTGTGAATTCATAAGTAAGTTGTTTCTCTATTTTATATGTTTAAATAAATAATCAATATTCTCTATTTTATATCAAGAAAAAAGTAACTTGGAGGATATTGATTATCAAGAAAAAAGCAATCAATATTCTTCATGAAGTTAGCAAGCACCTCCTCCAAATTACTTTTTTCTTGCCCATTAATACGGAGAATATTGATTATTTATTTAAACATATAGAATAGAGAAACAACTTACCTATGAATTTTGTAGCTTGGAAGTAGACGAATTTGAGATTTCAGAGCTCGAGAAAGAAAAAAACTTCGATTGTAGGTATAAGAAGAAAAGAATGATTGTTGTGCAATGGGTTTCAACATAATAAGGGGATTATAATTTGAAATTTCTATTTTACTCATTATTAAATTGTTTTTCAATTTTCCGTTAGCTGCAGACAAAATATTAACGCTAGGGACCAAATTCGCCACTTTACTCATAACTGAGGGACTAAATTCGAATACGGCCATAACTTAAGGACTGAGTCGGAATTTGGTTATAACTCAAGGACTAAAAATGTAATTTTCTCTGAACTAAATAGGCTACTTAATCTTATATGTTTTAAGGCCTAACATATATGCCTACAAGCCTGTCTTTTATATATATATATATATATATATATATATATATATATATATAAAATAGGCTTTAGACATTCCATTTTGGGTTTATTTGTGGCTGTGATTTTTTTTAAAAGATTTTTTATTTTATTTTATTTAGAAAGGGGTGCTTTGATAATTTTGAAGTGTGTTTTGATTATTGGACATGATTTTAGGAGTTTAATTTATGGTAAATTTGGATTCTCTTGTTGTTGTGTAGTCGCCTTTGCATGAAGTTTTTATTTATCTATCTTGCTTTATGTTTTTCTTTGTTTTGCGTTTCTTTTTTTCTCAGGTTGGTTTTTGTGTTTTTTTTTTTTTTAATTGTCTATTGTTTGCGTATAATATTGTCTATTTTTGTGATTCACCAATGTGTATTTTTTGCGGGCAATGTATTGGTATGCACTGTGGTTTCCATGTAGTTGTGCATTTATATTGTCGATTGTGTGCATTTTAGGTGAATTAGAGGAAGAACAAGTTCCTCTTGTAACAAGTGTGCCCGCTATTTTCTGCCATTTTTAGTCATTTGTTAGTTTTGCCGTTTGTTGACTGTTTAAATATGTTGAGAAAAATTTGGATATAAGTCTATTTTCACCAATTCATTCCTGCTTCTGATCACCCTGTGAGATTCACTCTTCCATGGATTCATTTGCAGACTCTATTCCCTGGATTGTGGCTGACAGAAATTACACTTGACCTCTACAAATTAAAGTTCCTGAAGATCGATCAGTAGAAAGAAAAAAGGTATGCATTTTCTTCAAATTCTGATAGCTATTTAGATTTGATCTTTAGGATGATGTAAATGAAACCCAGTTTTCACTCTCAGTTTATATTTTATAACTAAAAGTTCTAAGCTTTCTTTAATTTTGCAGATTGCAGACTAACCCAGTTTTCACTGCTGAACTTGTGCATGCT